TGCCAGTCACGCGGGGATGCTCCTTGTCAGCCTTGACGGCGAGGAAGGTGGCCAGGTCGAGGTCGAGCATGGTGACCCCTCCGCGCGGCGTGGGCGTGTTTTGGCGGCACTGCGGGCAGGGGATCCAGCGCTGCTCGTTGGTGACGGCGTCGAGGCGCTTCAGGCAGGCCTGGCAGAAGGTGTGGCCGCAGTAGAGCCGCCGCGGCAGCCGCGCACTCAGGTCGTAGGAGGAGTAGCAGATGATGCACTCGACCCGCTGGCTGCCCCGGCTCGGGGTGCGCGAGTGCGCCCCGAAACACGGCCCCGCGTCCTCTGCCCGGGGGCTGCCGCCGGCCTGCGACATGCTGGGAGGGGGACGTGGGGTTTAGAGGAGTGGTCAGGCCCGTCCGTGGCTGGGGAGGGAGTCAAGGGCTGGGATAGAACCTCTGGGTGCACCCGAGTTGTGGGAGAGATGGGTGGGTTCCCGGGAGGGCACCATGCTCCCTGCCCAACATCCCTGCCTGCTGCCTGCCTGTCCCACGGCCAGCCCTGCCTGGAAGAGCAGGACCCTGTCACTGCACTGGGTTGTCCCTGCACCCATGGGGGATGTGTTTTCCCACCCTCAGTGGGAAATGTGCCAGCCCACGGGAATATGGTCTGGCCAGACCCCAGCAGCCTGCTCAGGGCTGCCTGGACCCCGTGTCCGGGGGGGACATGGGGGGAGCAGGAGTGGGGTGGCTGGGTGGGTTGGGAAACAGCACTTAGAGGATCAGGCAATGCTCAGCCCTGCTCCTCCCCATCCCTGGGCTGTGCCAGGCCACCACAGCATGGCTGTCAGCAGCAGGGGATGGGCATGCAGGCTGGTGGGGAGGAGTTGAGAGTTCCAGCTCATCTCAGCATCCAGTTGGGGTCTGGTATCACCAGCATATTAATGAACCTCTCCCAGAGGCCCCCAGGACCCCATTCCCTCTCCTTGGGCAACCTCAAGCACTTTGGTGCATATGTCCTCCCTTTCTCCCTATTCCCCCATCCCTACCTGTCTTGAGGTGCTTCCCAGGGCCTCAGAGTTGCTTGTAGAAGGGCTGTGCTGTCCCGGGGGGCTGTGGCAGTCCCGTGGGGAGCATCAGGGGGCTGAGCTGCTGCAGCTTCCCGCACGTCCCTGCAGCTGCTGGTGGCCCGTAGTTGGAAGGGCTCACCTTTCAGGAACAGGCGCTATCGGATCTGCTGCCAGGAAGCCAAGCCTGGCAGATTGGGTTACAAACACCAGATAACAAAGACCTCTGAAATGTAAGCCCCAGGAGTGGGCATTAACTGTCCATCTGTGCTTCGGTAGCAGAGGGAACCATCCCTGTGAGGCCGAGGAGCTCTGGGCTGCACCGTGGGCAGAGGGCTTGGACCGGGCAGCAGCAACGGAGCCTTCCACATCCCAGGCCACCCTTCCTGGCCAGGAACAGATGTTGGCAGATGTTGGAAGCGGGGACGCCCCATCGCACTCCAGCCCACACATCAGCAGGTGGTCGGGGCTGGGGGGCGGCGGTGACCGGGGTGGGAGGGCACGGAGAGGCTCCAGGCTGGCAGGGGTGGCAGGGCTGGGGCTGGCACAGGGACACTGGGGCTCCAGCCTGCTCTGAGCTGGCAGTGCCCACCCATGGGGTGGTGCTCCTCCTCCGGTGTCTGGGGGTGACGTGCCCAGGACCTGCCCCTGCTGTCCCAGCTGGAGCTGCAGGGTCTGGCTCTGGGGGTGAGTTACTGATGCTCATCATCAGGCTGAGAGGAGCCCAGCATCCCACGGGGACACCTGCATGACCCAGGGCAGGCAGCAGCACCAGGGAGGTGGTAGACTGTCCCCAGAGCTGCCAACCCCCTGCCCGGGGGTCCAGCATCTCCAGCCTCAGCACAGAGGATGCTCCAAATTGAAAATAGAGGGTGGTAGTGGGGTAGATCCTGGGCACAAGATCCTGGAGGAGAAAAACCTATCCTGGAGGCAGGGCAGGACTGCAAGGACACCTGAGAGCAGTCCTGCGTGGGAGCAGGAGAGGGCAGCAGCTCCCGCTGCAGGCACGAGCAGGCAGCAGTGAAGGCAGGGAGACAGGCAGCACTCTCCTGTGCTGCCTCCTCACCAAACACCTCAGCAGCCCTCGGGCCACATTTCCAGCGCTCCCCGCAGAAAGAATTGGGGGTTTTGGAAACTGAGAGCCCCACAGGATCGCTGGGCTCTGCAGAAAGACTGGCCCCAGTGCCTGGAAGTGAGGCACCAGCACCGGCAGCACAGCACCTTTGGGGCACATATCCTGATCCTGATCCATCCTCAGCCACAGGCTTCCCCAGGCAGTGCACATGGTGTGTATGTGGATCCCCAGGAACGGGGGTGGCACCCATGGCGACTTTGCCCTCTTCTTGCCAGGCTGGTGGCAGGCACGGGACAGCGGGGCCAGCTTGGGGCAGGGCTGTGCCAGGGACATCAGTTTTGACCAAACCCATGGGTCGAGGTGGGGGCAAGAGCCATGTACCCTGGGCAGGTCAGGAACCATCTGTGTGGCATTGCTACTGTGCCCTGGCACCTCAGGGTGCCACCCTGCCTGCCTGCAGGGGGTTGGCAGCCCCTGGGTGCAGCCAGGGCAGAGCTGGCTCCCAATGGGCACAGCATGCTGCCTCCATGACCATGTGCCCAAGGACATGCTGGCTATGCCCAGGAATGTCCCAAGGCTGGTAGGGTGTCCCTGACTCACCTAAAGCACAGTGGGGGCCTGGCTCACCAGCTGCAGGGACAGGTATGGCACAGGCAGGTGTCAGTCCCTTAGGCCATAGGAAACCCTGCCCAAAAAGGGTGAGAGGGGTGGGTTTGGCTCTGTGTACACCTGAGAGTGCCCCTGGCACTGCTCAGAGGCAGTGACCCCTCTGTTTGCCTCTCCCTCTCACACACACACACACACACACATCCTGCCTGCCCTCCTGCCCCACTCCAGCCCCTGCCTGTCCCCTGCCCATCAGTCCTCGTGTCCCCTCCCAGGTGCCAGCAGAGCCATGTCCCACCAGGGGCTGTGCCCAGTTGCCCTTGGCCACTCCTGCCCACTGCTGCACCCCACAGGGAGCCCTTGGTGACATGGGCTGTGCCTCTGCCATGCTGGCACTGAGGGCACCGTGAGCCCTGCCAAAGCACCTGGATCCAGGCACAGAGAATCATGGAATCGTTAAGGCTGGAAAAGACTTTAAGATCATTGAGTCCAGCCATCAACCCTACACCACCACCATGTTTACCATTAAACCACATCCAAACATTTTTTGAACACTTCTGGGGATGGAGACTCCACCACTTCCCTGGGCAGCCTGTTCCAATGCTTTACAACTCCTTCCATGATTTATTTTTTTCCTAATATCCAATCTAAACCTCCCCTGGCACAACTTGAGGTTATTTTCTGTCGTTCTTGTCACTTGTTACCCGAGAAAAGAGACCAATCCCCACCTCAGTACAACCTCTTTTCAGGGAGCTGTAGGGAGCGATAAGGTGTCCCCTCAGGGAAGGCAGATCTCCAATCAGCAGCGACACTCATGGGTGGGAAAGGTCTTTTCCTGTTCCCAGGTCTCATCTCCGAGGTCTGCAGGGACCTTCGGCCCCGCGGGGTGGGGAGCGGCACCCTGAGGGAGAGCAAAGGTGAGATCCAGGTGAGCCAGAGCCCCGCACCACCGCCCACGCTACAGAGGCAGAAGGTGGTTGTCACCCAGCACAACCCTCTGCCCCCCTGAGCACCTTCCAAAGACAAAAGGCACCCAGGGAACACCCCTGGGACTCTGCACGCAGCTGCCCGGGTCACACAGAGCCCTGCCGAGGTCTGGGGCAGCAGCCCCTCCCCTGCTCACCCCCCCGCTTCTCCTGCTGCCTCCGGCTTAATCATTGCCCGCCCGTCTGGCAGGCTCTGCCCGGCCTCTCCCGGCGTGTTTGCCATCGCCCCGGGGTTAGGCAGAGCGAAGGGCAGCGATGACACACACGGCAGATGCTGCGCCCTGCCAGTGCCCTGCCCGGGCCCTCACCCCTCGGCCCCCCTGCTCACACCGCCCCCCAGCCCCGGGGCTCTGCCCGAGGCTCCCCGCATCCCTCGGGGACAGTTTTCCCTCCCCAGACTGTGCGTGTTGAGCACGTCGGAGCCCCGGGAGCCCGGGTAGCCTCTGCGGGCTCAGCAAGCCGCGGCCGTGACGTGGTCCCTGCCCAGCCACGCCTGGGTGGGCTCCAGAGCAGGGCAGGGCTGGCGGCGGGGACACGAAAGCAAACAAGGGGTGGATCTGCCGCGGTCTGGGCAGCCTGAACAAGAGAGCTCCTTGTGCAGGGCTGGCACTGCGGGGCCGTGTCCCTGCCAGCCTCCCCTTGCGAGCCACAACCCCCCCGGCCACACACCCGAGTGGGATCTGGGCCAAGCAGGGCGGCCAGGGCAGGGGGGGCAAACTGGCAGGGCCAAACCTCTGCCAAGCCACTGCCACCCCAGCCCAGAATATCCCAAGGCTTGTGGGCTTCCAGGCAGTGGTGTGCTCCTGGCTGTGCTGGTGGGATCTCAGTGGAGGTGGGCTCCAAGCAGTGGTGATTCCAAGCAGTGGGGGCTCCCAGTGCTAGTGGACTCCCACGGGGTCACAGCCAGCCAGAGCAGTGCCCCAAAGCCCACCTAGCTGCCCCAGCCAGGAACTTACCCCTCCCCGAGTCCCTCCCAAAGATTCCTGCAGCCTTTCCAAAGGACAGGACAACCATCCAGCTTAGCAGGGCTGGGTTGAGCAGCAGCCAGTGTCCCTGGGCAGGCAGGGGCAGGCTGCCCCTGAGCAGTGTTGGATCCAGGCTGGCAGCAGGACAGCAGCCAGCCAAAGAGCTCAGCCTGACACTGCTGCTGCCACGAGTCAGCAGTGCAACAGTTAAGCCTGGTTTGGAGGCTTTTGCACTGCCCTGACACAACCTGCCAGGATAAGCAAGAAGTAACACAGGAATCCCGGAAAATCCAGGGTGGAGGGAAGAGGTATGCTTTGTCAGGGGAGGAGATGGCTGTAATTTTATTTGCAGCACCCTGAAGTCATCTGCTAACATAGGCACCCTTCCCAAGCCCCTGCTCCCGCAGACCAGGCAGTTCTGCAGCAGCCACGGTGCTTGAGCAGCTGCCAGCTAGCAGCACCACTGCCCCTGGGATGCCAACACCATGGAGGGATTCCAGCACCATGGAGGGATTCCAGCACCATGGAGGGATTCCAGCACCATCGAGGGACGTCAACACCATGGCGGGATGTCAGCACAATGGCAGGCTTGTTCCAGGTCGATGGTGCCAGACCCAGATGAATCCCAGCCTGGAGCCGCCCCAGGGTGCTGAGAAGAGCCAGACAGCTCCTCGCTCACCTTCCTCCATGCTCAGTGGGCTGCAGAAGGCAAAAGCTGGGGATCTGCATGCCCAGTAAGGTGCCCCCCAGTGCCACCCTGCTGCTGGAGCTGGGCCAGGCCTCTGCACTGGACCCAGTCCCAATGCTCCGGGATGCAGATGGAGTGAGAGGCTGTGTCCAGTGCTCTCAAGCCTGGCAGGAGGAACCGAATGGGGTTGGGGGTTTCCTGGCACTGGGATGTTAATGCCTAATCCATGCTGAGCCATGAGGTGCTGCCCTGAGCAGGACCCAGATGGAGCTGGAGCTGGAGCTTGGCACAGGGTGCTGCAGCATCCCCATGATGCTGGGTGCTGGAGAGATGACTCAGTTCTGGGAAGGTGGGTCCCCCTACCACCTGGAGCCATGTCCCTGGCTCCTTTCTGCTGCTCCAAGGTAGTCACGATGTCCTCCTCTGCCATGCACACAGGACTGCCATCATCCAAACCTATCCACTGGCATGCAGGCAGCGCATGCACCTTCCCAGAAGTGGAGATTTCCCAGCCAGGGGAGACTGGCAGGGGCAGTGTACAGGATTGCAGGCTCAAAGTGCTGCCCTGTCCCCACTGCAGGCACTTCTTGGTGGCGTCTGTCCTGGCACACATCATCCTCAGGGCTCCTGGGCCCCACACTGGGCTCTCAGGACCTGGCAGGTGCCCATTACCAGGTTATCTGGCTGAAGAGCTCACTGGTGAAAAGCAATGTCAGAGTCCAACCAGTGCCAGCTCCCAGCTGCCAGCTCTGCCAGGTGCCAGGGGCAGATCCCCGGGGTACCCAGTCCAGCAGCCTCGTCCCTGTGGGATCACCAGGCCCCATCCCATGGTCAGCATGTCCCATAGTGCAGGGAAAGCCCTTAGGAGATGACACAGCAGCACTTTGGGCAGCAGGGGCACCAGCTCCAGCAGCCACATCGCCTGCCAGTGCCCTGCTCCTGAGCCTTGGGGGGCTTGTCCAGGGTGACAGTGTAGAAGGAGGCAGACGATTCCCCATTGGGCATCCTCAGGCTGGCATAGGGATTGTAGGGACGGGACCAGGACTTATCTGTGGAGATGGTTGGGCTGTTCCAGCCATTAGCAGAGTCTGCCTTCTCCTCCGTGCCGTAGGTGGGCACGGCTGCGGGGTTGGCAATGATGGTGGGCTCATCCTTCAGGTAACGAGTGATGAAGCTTTGCTGGAACTGCTCCCGTGGGATGTTGACACTGGCGTAGGGGTTCTCCACGCTGATGCCTCGATCCATCTCCCTGCTCCTCATCAGCACACGTGGCTTGTCTGGCACTGCCCACCCCCTGCGAGGCAGAGACCCCGTTAACCCGCGGTGTGGGGCAGGGACCCCTGGCAGACCCTGGTGGCTGGGGTGCAGACTCTGCTCCCCCTTCCTCCCCAGCCCCAGAGGACCCCGACGTGCAGCACTTGGGCCAAATGGCCCGGCTGGAAAAGCTGAGAGGGGAAGCAGGAGAGAGTGGAGCAGGGAGACAGGGGGGTGAGCAGGGTGCTGGGGGGCAGAAGGGGTGCTGGGTGGGAGACACTCAGCAGGTAGGGCAGTGGAGTGAGGTAAGAAATTGGGGCGGGGGGGCGGAGGCAAGTCTCAGAGATGGAGGTAACGCAGTGGGGCGAGGAGAGAGGAGAAAGGGGGTGCAGGAGGGTGGAGAGGCAAAGACGGAAGAAAGGCGACAGGGCTGGAGGAGTAGAGAGTGGAGCTGGGGACGGGACAGGCGGAGGGAGATGGGGAGCCGGGGCGGGGCGGGGGCAAGGGAAGAAGAGGGGCAGGCAGGGGAAGGGGGAGCAGGCAGGGAGCAGGCAGGACACAGGTAGAGTGCGGGCAGGGGTGGGGGGCAGCGGTCGCCCCCGGCACTCACCGACCGCACGGCTCCGGCCGCTGCGGGGCCGCTCTGCCCCGGCTGCGCTTCCTCCTGCACGGACCGCCCCGAGCGGCGCCGCCCCGACCGACAGACAGACAGACAGACAAACCGATCGGCCCCGAGCGACCGCCACCCAACACCCGGCACCCTCCGCCCAGCCCCGAGTGATCGACACCCACCCACTGACACCCCCGCCCAGGCATCCACCCATCAGCCCGGCCCACACCGAAACTACACACTGGGCAAGGGCCACACGCATCTGGGCACCAATACCAGGCACTGGACACTGGGCGCAGGACAGGGACATTGGTCAGGGGGCACTGGGCACTGGACAATGGGAGTTGGAGACTGGAAAGAGGCACTGGGCACCAGGCAAGGCCACCAGTACTGAACGTCGTGCACCATCACCAGCACTAGCCACTGGCACCAGGCACTGAGCTCCAGCACTGGTACCACCTGGGTGATGGTACTGGGCAGGGGTGGGAGGGGGCACCCTGCATCAGGGGTCTATAGGAACCAGCACCAGGCACTGGGCAGAGGGCATCGAGCACACACAGGTCCTGAGCCCCGGGCAGGGGACACCAGGCACCTGCAGCCACTGCACCCTCTGGCAGCCCCCAGACTCCTTGCCAGGCTCTACTTGTCCCCATGGGCACCCAGGTCCCTGCAGCCCAGTGGTCCCACACACCCTGCCTGGCTCTGTGACCTCTCCAGTCCTGAGACCCCACAGTGCCAGGTCTCCAGTGGGGTCCTCATCCCTCGAGTGGATCTTGGCTGTGGTGACCTCGTGTCCACCAACACAGCCTTTTCCAGGATAGGTTCTGGGGGTTACCCTGCGCCTGCCCCCAGGGCACCACTGGAGGGTGACACACAAGGTTGGATGGAGGGAGGGACACAGCTGGTGCTGGGGCAAAGAGGGGGATGCTGGCACATGTGCCAGTTCCTGGGACCAGAAGTGCTGCAGGAGAAAAAATGCAACTTTCAGCACCCTCCACCCTACTCCACCCTGTCCCTGCCATGTGACAGTTCTGCCTGACTCTGCACTGTCACTCTTCCCACCACCAGACCCCTCAGGCTGGCTTGTGCAGAGCCCCAACACCTTCCCACAAGTTCTGTGCAGAACCCTGTCCTTCCCAGGAGCCTCGGGGATGCCAGGACAGCGTCCTCCTGGACAGCCTGGGGATGGGCGCTGGGCAGAGGGTGCCCCAAATTGCAGCTGAATCCTCCTGAGACTGAATTCCATTTCCCACAGCAATTTGCAAAGGGAAAATCATCATCACAGCACACAGCTCTTGGGTTTCAAAGCTGTAGAACTTCTGCACAGACCCCTCAGGGCCTCTCTGCCTCCACAGGGTCCCCTGCAGGAGACCCACCAGCAACCCCTGTCCCTTTGCCGGACCTCGCTGCTGTCTCCAGAGAAACACTCATCTGTTTGACTAAGCAGGCGTAGAAGAGATATCCTCCGCCCAGGTGTCCTGCCGTAACCCCAGCCCGCCCCGCCTGTCCGTGCCCGGCGTGTCCCTGCTCGCGCGGGGGATGTCGCTGTGGTGCTCTCCAGCAGCACAGTTCCTGTCCTCTCAGGGCCTCAGGACTTGCTCATTCTGGCTTCCAGCCCCAGATTTCCATGCGCAGCCCTGTTCCTAAGCGGCTCTGCTTGCAGGGAGCTGCAAGGCTGCACATCAGGCACAGGTCGGGTCTGGGGGGGACCCTGAGACCCTGCAACCCTGTGTCCTCAGTGCCTTCCCTCTGCCGAAGCGGCCCCGAAGAGAAGCTCACCTCATTAGAACCTCGGAGTATTTTTGGGTGGGGACATCCCACATGCCACTGCCCGGGGCTGCAGACCCTACACGGCCCCTTGGAGCAGAGTGTCAGCTGCAGTCTGAAGTGCCTCCCCCCGTGATGTGTCTCTCGGCATCCAGCCGTGGTAGCTCCCATCTCACAGACACCTTCTGGACACTCTCGTTCCTCGCAGACTCGGGCTCCGGCTCCAGTTCTGCACGGCTGGGCTGGCTCAGTCTTGTCTTGGGAAAGCCCTTCCAGTCTCTGCTGCTGCTCTCCTTCTCTGGATCTGGCCATCTTCTCATTTCAAGCCTCAATTTTCTGATGGCAAATTTGTTCCTGTGCCAACAGTGTCTCTAATAGCTCCTTTCCTCTTGGCTGTGCATGCGGTGGTGCCATTCCTGGAACACACTTGACAGCCCCGCTGGTGGGGATGGAGTTAACCCAGATCTCTGGCAAGGAACGGGAACAGGAGTGGCTGCGTCATCTGTGGACCTTATAAGGTCCCTGCCAGGCCAAAGTGGCCACCACGGCATCTGGAGAAGGGACCCTCGTCCCTTGGGTCATTGGCACTGGTTGTTTAGGTGCTGCTGTCAGACAGGGGACACATCCAGCCCAGCCTCTGCCACTTGCGGGGCAGTTGGCCCCCCTGGGGTCCCTCCTTCAAAAATGGGGCACCTCGGAAATGTGGGTTTGTTTGTAACAGGAGCTGGAGAGAGGAGGTCGGTTAACACCTGGGGAGATTAAGATGGTGGGACTGGATGCCCTGGCTTTTTTGCCAGTGCCCCTGGAGCTGTGCCCATCACCATCCCTCGCATTTGCAGAGCATTGCAGCATCAGGCAGACCTGAATTCATGCAGCTCCAGAGCTCTCAGGATCACCCCATTGTCCCCTGGATGGACAGGAGAGACAGTCCTGTGGGCAGGAGGTGACTCAGAGCTCATGTCCCCACTGGTGGGGGATGATGTGCCCCAGCCCCCTCTCCAGGAGTGCTCCAGTTCCCCAGGTGGAGGTAAATAAGTCATTTAAATACAATGTTGTTCCCCAGGAGGGAGATTCAGTGGTGGAAGCCAAAACCTGTCCTTTTGAGCATTGAAAAGCATCATTCCTTGCTTCTTGTCTCCCCATCCTGAGAGAGCCAAGCAGAGAAGATCTGGCACAGCAGAGTGGTTCAGTGTCTGTCCAGTGCCCATGATGGGCAGATCTGCAGCACTGCAGCCCCAGCACAGCACAGTTATCACCAACCAGGAGCAGCAACCCCCAGTCTGGAGCCTGACGTTCAAACATTTCATTTCTTGGCAAGAAATTCTCCAAACTGATCTCCAAGAACGACATCCAGCGGTCTCATGTGGATCCTTGGAGGGTTTGGACGTGATGGAGGATCCTCAGGTTGGAAAAGTTGCTGCATTGAAGGTCAAGCTGCTGGTTTGGAGTTGTCCCACGTGGGATTCACAAAGCTGGGAGCCAGCAGGTGCTACTCCTCCTTGAGTAAATGGAGGAGCTGAACTAATGTGAGGCTCTTTGTTGCCTAAAACCAACCTGATTTCCTGAAATTGTTTGCAGGGGGAAAGGAATCTACAGACCAAAGAACAACCAAAACCCAGAGATATGATGGAGAGGGATGTTGTCAGAGATGCTGCTTCCAGAAGAATGTGCTTGGGCTCCATGCAGCCCAGGAGACAACCTTGGTGATTTGAGGAGGAGCCTGGGAAAACCAGGAGAAAGGGGGAAAAAAATCAACCTTTGTTTTTGTTTGTTTGGTTTTGGTTTTGGTTTTGTTTTTTTGACTGGTCCATGAGCTCATTTGAAGCCCAAAAATGAAGGGGCATCCCTGCGGAGGGGCCAAGGACCTGGGTTCCCAGCGTGTGCTTCATGTACTCAGGGGCAGAAGCATCCCCAGCCACGGGACGTGCAGCCAGGAGGAAAGGCTATCTCAGCAATTCCTCAGTAGCCGTCCATAAAAAGTCACAGATCCTTCAGCCATGCCACAGCAGGGGACCCACAGCCCCAGACCCTGTGTGACCCAGCACAAGCTGTTGGGAGTTTTTCCAGGATACCAGTAACTGCAGGGATCCCACGGGATGCCTCAGCCCACTGGTGTTTCAAACACAGCAAAAGGGACATTTCTTTGTTAAAAAAAACCCCTCAAAACCAAACAAACCAGAAAGTACATTCTGCTCCCGGGCATTCCTCTGCTGGGGTCAGGTATGTGCGGCATCCCGGCGGCGGAGCTTCCGCAGTCCCAGCTCCTCCCAGGGCTCTCGCAGTCACCAGGAATGGAATCCTCACGGACAGGACGCTTTTGGTAAACATTTCCCAGGGGCTCGTGGGAACTGCAGTACCGTGGCGCCGGCACATGAGGGTGGTGATGCTCTTTCCAGCCCGTCAGGAACGGGGGATGATGCAGGGTGACGCTTCCTAGAGGGAGAGGATTTGCCACCAGCTGGGGGGCAGCTCGGTGAGCCCCCCACGCAGATGGAGGCTGCTCAGCAAACCCTGGGGGGCTGAAGGCTTCACTGAAGCTCAGGAGTGGCCGGGGTGTGGAAAGGACACGGCGTGGGTTGGGCTGGTGCAGTGATGGGAAGGCAAACCCCAAATTTGAGCTGTGTGAAACACATGTGGGATGATCCCCTTGGGGACACCACAAGTCTCTCTCAGTGGAATGCAGCTGTGAGAGGTTTTCTTCAAGGTCTTTGTGTTAATTCTCAACTGCCTCTTCATTACAGAGCAGAGCGAGGCCAGGGATTATAGAAGGAAGGACCATGGGGTGGCCCAGGGGGCAGGAGGCATCAGTGGGGTGAGCATCCCTAAGGGCAACCCCAAGGATGGGTGTCACCAGCACAAGGGCTCAGCTGGACACTCAACAAGTGGGGAGAGGGCTCTGGGGGCTGTGGGCACAAGGCTGCCATGGAGGGAACCCTGCTGATGCGTGTCTGAAGGGTGATGTAGGGAGCAGAGAGCAGGGATACATCTGACAGCGATAGAGGGGCTGAGGGCTCATGGAAGCTGCAGGAGTTGGTGCTCTATTCCCCTCAGCATCACAGTCCCTCACCAACACCCCAGGGTGGGAAACCCCAGCACAGAATTCAGCTGGTGTCCCCAGGCCTGTGCTCACATCCCACGTGCAGAGTCCCTGCCCTGCTGGTCTCCAGGTCTGCCCATGGCATGCAATGAGTTTTCACAACTTGGCTCTCTCTCAGGGAAAGCCATGTGTTCCAAAGGAGGGCAGCAGCTTTGAAAGCCAGAATGGAGTCTGGAAGTGCCCTGCA